CTTGGTGATCCCCTGGATGTTATCGCGAAGAACCTTGCGATGGCGCTTGGCACCACCCTTGCCCAGGCCCTTGCCGCCCTTGCCTCTTCCAGACATGTTTGCTGCAAAAACAGGGACGGAAAACACGACCGCACCGTTCGCCTACTTCAACAAAGACTGGCGGCAATGCTCTACGGGTCCGACCAAGTGAACCCACGACGGCCTCCTCCTCTCCCGCCGACGAATGGGAGCAGTCCTGCAGCTTCGTATTGTGGCCGACAGGTGGCTGCGCACTGGAAGCAAGCGTGTGTTGATGAAATGCATGGCTTTAGCAAAGGCATTCATACACCTCGCCCATTTTGAGTCTTCATAGTTGTATGTGCAAAACATTGTTTTTTCTAGGTTCCAGGAGATATATATTTTAGCGGGATTAAGATTCGTTTTCGCTAAGTCAATGGGAGAAACATGTCAACTCAGGAGTGCCGAGCTTCGCACCGATGCAGCTAGTCAAGGGCCCGTTTTCACATGCGAATAAAAAAGAGTTTTATAAACGTTCGAGCAATCTATTCATCGGAACTTGTACAAGACACACTCTTCTCACGGCACACAAAAATTAAAGTTTCTTATCACTGGCGTTTTTAAGCGCGCAGTGCAATTCACCGCCATGGTGAGCCGGGTCGACAGCAAGTTGGGTCACCCAAGAACATAGTTTGATCAAAATATTGACTTATATAAAAGGGTCCGGTTTTAAGTGCTTATTACACGGGACGAAAAGTCTTTTTGGCTGGCAGAAAATTTGATACTGAAAAACTTTTTACCAAGCCTTCGGTCTGTTAAGAAGCAAAACCTGCCACCCGAAAGCGGCCAGTTCGTGCCGCTGCCGCGAATCGCGCAAATGAAGTAAAGTAATAAAACAATTTCGTCTAAATTCAAATGCTTTTTACACCTACCGAAGAATTTCATTAGCTTTCAGAAAATATACACTTCGCTAAGCGTAAAGATATTTTTCGTTGCGTTAGAGAGCGAAACAGGCGAAGCCGTAGGGCCGGCTTCGCGCTCGGGCCGGAATTCGATCGTCCAAGATCAGGCAAAAATTAAAAATAAAAAAAAAACTACTCGCTTTAGAAGAGTCTCTTTTTCTGTGCTTTTAGCGCACACTTTTTTCTAGCGGCACACAAAATTAAGAGTCTTTATCTACCTTTTTTTAAACTTAAATCGACCAGCCACCCAGAGCGCCCGAAAACTAGATTTGGCTTCCAAGTAAGTGGTTAGATCAATATATGAACAAAAATAACTCTGTTTAAAATCAAACACTTTCTACACCTATTGGAGAAGTTCATTAGCTTTCGGAAAATATATATTTCGATATGCGTAAAAATATTTTTCGTTGCGTTAGAGAGGGAAACATGTGAAGCTGTAGAGTCCGGCGCGCACTCGTGCCGCGATTCGATCGTCTAAGATCAGGCAAAAATAAAAATAAAAGTACTCGCCTTAAAAGAGTTTCTCTTTTTTGTGCTGTTAGTACACACTTTTCTTTCGCGGCACACGAGATTAAAAGCCTGTATCTACGTTTATCATTGCATTTTTTAAACTTAAAATAAGAACACTCGAATTTAAAAGCAAGTTATTTGATACAACCGTGGCTCTAAAAAGAAAAACGCTGCAACTCGAAAACACAACACTTTGGAGTATGGGCTCCCAACGGCTAAAAACCACGCGAATATATCCTTTACATACGCGAGCGATGTGCAATATTTAGGAAGGTCACTCGTGCCCTCAAAAGCAATGAAATACAATGTTTTTTTTTCACCGAAACAAAATAAACGACATCCGACTGTGGCTACAAGAAGCCAAGTTCGACTGCACAACAAGAAAAAAGACATACTCTTTGCAAACATGCGCGATGCAGAAGCACTGGGTACTCACATATTTCTTGAAAAGAGAGACACGGGAGTTGGAAGTCATCGAGAGACGGCCGTTTTGCAGGGATGAGTATGGCCCTCAAAAGGGCCGTTTGTACATACAGCAGGGAGATAGCTCCTGGGTGTTACTTGGAACTGGTGTACTTGGTGACAGCCTTGGTGCCCTCGGACACCGCATGCTTTGCCAGTTCACCCGGCAGCAGGAGCCTCACAGCTGTCTGGATCTCCCGACTCGTGATGGTCGAGCGCTTGTTGTAGTGAGCCAGCCGAGACGACTCTGCTGCGATGCGCTCGAAGATGTCGTTCACGAAGCTGTTCATGATCGACATGGCCTTGCTGGACACTCCGGTGTCGGGATGGACCTGTTTGAGCACCTTGTAGATGTAGATGCTGAAGCTCTCCTTCCTCTTGCGCCTCTTCTTCTTCTTGTCGGTGGCACGCACATTTTTCTGTGCCTTGCCCGCCTTCTTCACTGCTTTTCCGCTCGGTTGGGGGGGCATCCTCGCGCGACTTGTCTTCGGGAGAAGATCGACGTTGTTACTCGCAAAAAGATGGCGAAACAACAACTGGGGCAACCTGAAATTTTCAGTTTTCTTTGCTCTTTTTATAGGTTTTCACAGCATTCTGAAAAATGTGCTCCGATTGGCCAGCATTCTAGAGCGCGGGAAACAGTGCGCTGTGATTGGAGTACGCCCAAAATAACGCTTCGCGATTGGTTGCTGCGCGAACCAATGAGCAAGCAGTTTGAAACTACAATTTTTTGGGAGAGGGTTTTGGGAGAGGAGTGCTATGAAGCAGAGAATAGGAGGTAAAAGCGCTAAAAAACGACGGACAAGTTGAAGAATGACGAACACCACAGAGCGCTAACTTGCAACTGAAGTTTATTACTGAAAAACACGTACACATATATACACCGTGACATCAAAAAGACAAGTGGCAATAATGCCGCTTCATCTATCTAAGGTTAATCTATGAATTGTTTACTCTTTCGAATGATTTCAAATATGCCACCTCAGAGCTATACAGGTTTACTGAGGGAGCGCTGACACACTTGCCCTGATCGTACTTCAAAATAAAAAACGCCTCCGATATCTCTCTCGTTTTTTTGTCTCTATTCCGAGTTAAGATAACGGTGTTGTCAAGCCGTGGGACACACCCACATCTGTTACAGTGTACAGCCAGATTGCCCGAGGGTGATGATCTAACTGACAGGGCATGTTCCCTGAGTCTGTCGTTTATGCACCGACCCGATTGCCCGATGTACACCTTTCCGCATGATAAAGGAATTTTATACACCACTTGTTCCTTACACTCTACGTATCTTGTTTTATGATTCTTATGGCATACGCCTACGCGCTCATCACCACGTGCCACCCTTCCACATAGCTTACTCAATTTTTGAGGGGCTGATAAGAGTACAGGCGCCTTCTTCACTGCTTTTCCGCTCGGTTGGGGGGGCATCCTCGCGCGACTTGTCTTCGGGAGAAGATCGACGTTGTTACTCGCAAAAAGATGGCGAAACAACAACTGGGGCAACCTGAAATTTTCAGAGAGAGAGAGAGAGAAGTCTTGCAAAAGAGGAAAAACCATCGTTGGAGTTACAGCCATGGGCCGAACGGTCATCGTTGGATTGGGGGAAGGGAAGGGGATAAAAGCTGATAGAAGAAAAAATTGTGAAAAAAAGAGAGGGAGGTTGTTTCGCCAAAGCCGACAAGCGGGGCGCGAGGAGCCACAGAAAGTGGCTGGCAGAAAAGGGGGCGGAGCCGAGGAAGGAAGGAGATCCTTTAAATGTTCAAGTGTCTTGTCCAGAAGCCTGTAGCACATCTTCACAGAGTCCAGGGTGAACGAATCGGGTTCGGCACGCGGTGTCCGAATTTCCAAGCACTGTCACCAGTCACACCAACACCAAGTCTCCCAGTATTCCGAGCCAAAGTGCAATGGGTCGGCGAGCATCTCTCTGCTGCATGTATACACAACACGGCGTTGCGAAAGGATTGGGGGGAACATTAATAGATTCCGTTCCCTCAACAGGGGCGGTCGAGCCTATTGTATGCATAAGGGACATTCCGCAGAGTGCTACGGAATGACATTCTTTGCCTGTGTTTGGCTGAGTGACCCACGCGATTTAACGCGTGGCTCACCAAACGCAAAGGTAGAAATTACTTGTATGGCATTTTCTGAAAATGCCTGACCCTTAGCATGCCTAGGGTTTACTAGCTTCCGAATCTATCATTCGAAAACTTTTCACGGCTGGGCGAGGTTAGTTCCTGCCCATTAAAAGGAAAAAAAAGAATTCCGAATTTATTATTCGAAACCCGGACTCAGTAAGGTTACTCCTTTCCCGCGAGAGAAGAATCAACATAAATAAGAAAAATGGCACGGCGCCAGAGCGGGACAGCGCGCGGGGAGACTGTTTTGCCAAAGCAGAAGGGGCCCCGCGCGAGGGGCAGACCTGGCGAGAATAAAGAATAGAAAAACAAAACGCCGGAGGGAAGCTATCAGTTAGGATTTGCACAAAGAGCAGTCCCTGCTGCGAGGCAGGAAAGAAGAGATCAAAAAATAAAAGCTAAAAGCAGACAAAGAACGCGAGAGAGAGGCTGTCAATCAAGTCGTGCGCGAAGGACGCACCCGACAAGAAGGGAAGCCAGAGAAAGAAAGGATAACCAATACAGTCTAAAAGTGTTAAGTGGGTCAGGGGGCCCACGCAAGGGGTGGCCCAGCGCGCGCGTTCCAAGAGGAGCTATCAGTTAGAACTTGTACAAAGAGTCCTCCCCGCTGAAGGCAGGAAAGAAAAATAAAACTAAAAGCCAAAAAGCAGACGGAAAACGCGAGAGAGAGGCTGTCAAACAAGTCCGGCGCCAAGAACGTACCGGTCAAGAAGCAAAGCCAGTTTTCTTTGCTCTTTTTATAGGTTTTCACAGCATTCTGAAAAATGTGCTCCGATTGGCCAGCATTCTAGAGCGCGGGAAACAGTGCGCTGTGATTGGAGTACGCCCAAAATAACGCTTCGCGATTGGTTGCTGCGCGAACCAATGAGCAAGCAGTTTGAAACTACAATTTTTTGGGAGAGGGTTTTGGGAGAGGAGTGCTATGAAGCAGAGGCAGTGCAAGGCGAAAACGCGCTCTTGCAGCGCCCCCCAAGCGGAGAGGACTGGCACTTCCTTTGATTTTCTGCTTCTCGATGCGCTGACTCCCTCACTCACTCAGTGTTCGTTGGTTTGTTCGGTTGTCCACTTCTCACCTCCACCAAGATGTCTGGGCGCGGAAAAGGAGGCAAGGCAAAGGGCAAGAGCAAGACCCGTTCCAGCCGCGCGGGGCTCCAGTTTCCCGTGGGAAGGATCCACCGACTACTGCGAAAGGGCAACTACGCGGAGCGAGTAGGTGCCGGTGCCCCCGTCTACTTGGCGGCCGTACTCGAGTACCTGGCTGCCGAAGTGCTCGAGCTGGCAGGAAACGCGGCCAGGGACAACAAGAAAACTAGGATCATCCCTCGACACCTGCAGCTGGCCATTCGCAACGACGAAGAGCTCAACAAGCTGCTGTCCGTCGTTACCATCGCGCAAGGAGGTGTCCTGCCCAACATCCAGGCCGTCCTCCTTCCCAAGAAGACCGAGAAGAAGGCCTAAACCATCCCGCGGCATCCGCTACAGAAAAACGGTCCTTTTCAGGACCACTCATGACTTGAGTACAGGATACTCATTTCCGTGCGCTAGTCTTCCGTGTCTCTAAACACTCGGGTATGTGCATTTAAATTTCCTTTTTGTGCAATGCCGACAGTGTTTCTCTTTCATCACCTACAGGCCTTGAATGCCACTCTTAGGCATTCTCCCATGCATAATATTTACGCTGCGTTTAATGCCAAATTCTTTCACGTGTGCGAATTGCCCGAACAAGACTTGCTGTCGGGCGCAAAGGCCAGCATTGCTTGTTATTTGAACTCGTAAAACCACCGCTGCACTGCCTCGCTTTGAGAGGATTTGAAGCTCTTTCTACGAGAGTCAACAATCGGAGCAGCATTTCCCCGAAACCGGCAGAGGGCAATAAATGTTGTGGACATCCCTCAAAAACAGATAATTACTCCACGGGTTTTTGTTGGTCGAATCTATAATCGTGATATTCGCTGATTGCTAGAAAATGAACCCTGTAATGTCTCGGGAAAGGTTTTTTTCTTCTTTATTTATTTCATTCAACAACACTTTAGAAAACAAGGAACACATGAAGGAATCGTTGGAAGCAACTGCGAACGGAGCACTTGGCACAATGCAAACTAGTTCAAAATGGGAGAATAAATAGAAAGTACTCACAGCTTTTGAACTCCTGCACTTGGAACAAGTCAGCATCGGAGATTGAGACACGGGAGGACGTCGCTTTACACATGTCCGAAAAGCATGTCTGATGTGGCCCTGAAGAGGGCCGTTTTTGTGGCGTTGCCTGCCGCTTCCAAAGAAGCGACATTAAGCGCGTTCACCGCGGATGCGACGAGCCAGCTGGATGTCCTTAGGCATGATGGTTACCCGCTTGGCGTGGATGGCACAGAGGTTGGTGTCTTCGAAGAGACCGACCAAGTAGGCCTCGCTGGCCTCCTGCAGGGCCATTACAGCCGAGCTCTGGAAGCGGAGGTCCGTCTTGAAATCTTGCGCGATCTCCCGCACTAGCCTCTGGAAGGGCAGCTTGCGGATGAGCAGCTCAGTCGACTTCTGGTAACGACGAATCTCACGCAGCGCGACCGTGCCCGGCCTGTAGCGATGCGGCTTCTTGACTCCACCGGTTGCAGGAGCACTCTTCCGGGCGGCCTTCGTAGCCAGCTGCTTGCGCGGTGCTTTTCCTCCCGTGCTCTTGCGGGCGGTCTGCTTCGTACGGGCCATTCCGAAACGTTGGGACAATAAAACGAGAGAGCTAGCAAACAGCAACACACCTCGACTCCTGACGACCAACTGCCTCAGCGCGAGTGGCGAAACTTCCTTCCCGACAAGGCCTCTCGGCCAATCAGAGAGCTTGTTCATTCTGGATGCTGTTTTGGGCAAGTTTCTTGCGAGGGACAGCGCACGTGGCTCGCTAGGACAATATTTCACGATTGAAGTGATCTAAACTTGTGGGGATAATGTGGAACCAACGTTAGAGCACAGAATCGAGCAAAAATTAGACTCCCAACCTTGTTATTTTAGAAACGGCACGGTTATAAACATTCGTTACCTTCTCCAGTGGGCCGCGCTCGCCTCTCGTCCAATCAGCGCGCTTGTTCATTCTTGGATGCTGTTTTGGGCGACTTTCTTGCGAGGGCCTATGCGCTTGGCTCCGTAAAATAATTTTTCTCGATCGAAGTAACTCAGACTTGTGAGGATAATGTGGAACCTATATTAGAGCACAGAATCGAGCAAAAATTAGACTCCAAACTTTGTTATTTTAGAAACGGCATGGTTACAAACATTCGTCACCTTCGAAGGGCTTCTCCCGGAGGTTCGCGCTCGCCTCTCTCGGCCAATGAGCGCTTGTTCTAGACGGTTTTTTTTCAGTCTCTCTCTGCTTACGATTAGAGTGGGTCATGTCCGAAGAAGTGTCCGCTCCTGCTGGGGTCGCGGCCCCCGCTGCCCTTAAGAGCCCCAAAAAGGCTTCCACGAAAGTGTCCAAGGGAAAGGCAAAGGCCGTGCCAACGCATCCCAAGGTGTCCGCAATGGTGACAGCATCCATCAGTGCGCTTAAGGAACGTGGTGGTTCATCTCTACAAGCCATCAAGAAATACATGTCTGCCAACTACAAGGTGGACGTCGAGAAGCTGTCTCCTTTCATCCGCAAGTATCTCAAGTCTGCCGTGGCTGCGGGAGCATTGGTGCAGACCAAGGGCAAGGGAGCTACCGGATCGTTCAAGCTGTCAGCCAAGTCCGACAAGCCCTCACCTGCTGCTAGGAAGCCCAAAAAGGAGGCTGGTGCTGCAAAGAAGCGCCCAGCCTCGGCAACTGCCGGTGCGGCCAGGAAGAAGAAGCCCGGGACTGCCAAGAAGTCGCCCGCAAAGAGGGCCAAGTCGGCCAAGCCCAAGTCGGCCAAGCCGAAAAAGCCAAAGGCAGAGAAGAAGGCTGCAGCACCCAAGAGCCCCAAGAAACCCAAGGCAGCAAAAAAGACCCCTGCCAAGAAGCCGGCTGCAAAGAAGGCTTCCTCCAAGAAATAGGTCTTCTCCTGGATATCCAGAGCGAATAACAAAACGGCCCTCATCAGGGCCATAATTCGTTTGCATATCGGGGGATATGCACTTGCGTGGCATGCAGCTCCCGTGTCTCTCGCCACCTCTCTGTTCCAGCCTCGGTAAGCTGATTCCTGCTCTTTTTCAATGTGCACGAGGCATACTTGGTGTTATATTATTGTTTGTTCCCCTGTTAGCAGCATTTTATCTTTGTGTGTGGTACTCGTGAAGTCGTGGAGGCCCGCTTCACGCTCGAGCCGCGATTCGATCGCCTAAGATCAGGCGAAAATAAAAAAAACTACTCGCTTTAGAACAGTCTTTTTTTCTGTCCTCTTAGCGCACACCTTTTTTTTTGCGGCACACGAAATTAAGAATCTGTATCTACGTTTATTATTACCTCTTTTAAACTTAAATCGACCAGCCGCCCTGACCGCTTGAAAACTAGTTTTGGCTTCCAAGTAAGAGGTTAGATCGAAATATGAAGAAAAATAACTCTGTTTAAATTCAAATAATTTTTACACCTATTAGAGAAGTTCATTAGCTTTCGGAAAATATATACTTCGCTATGCGTAAAAATATTTTTCGTTGCGTTAGAGAGTGAAACAGGTCAAGCTGTAGAGTCCGGCGCGCGCTCGAGCCGCGATTCGATCGTCCAAGATCAGGCAAAAATTAAATATAAAAAGAACTACTCGCTTCAGAAGAGTCTCTTTTTTTGTGCTCTTAGCGCACACGTTTTTTAGCGGCACACAAAATTAAGAATCTGCATCTGCGTTTATTATTACCTTTGTTAAACTTAAATCGACCATCCACCCAGAGCGCCCGAAAACTTGTTTTGCCTTCCAAGTAAGTGGTCAGATCGAAATATGAAGAAGAATAACTCCGTTTAAATTCAAATAATTTTTACACCTATTAGAGAAGTTCATTAGCTTTCGGAAAATATATACTTCGCTATGCGTAAAAATATTTTTCGTTGCGTTAGAGAGTGAAACAGGTCAAGCTGTAGAGTCCGGCGCGCGCTCGAGCCGCGATTCGATCGTCCAAGATCAGGCAAAAATTAAATATAAAAAGAACTACTCGCTTCAGAAGAGTCTCTTTTTCTGTGCTCTTAGCGCACACGTTTTTTGAGCGGCACACAAAATTAAGAATCTGCATCTGCGTTTATTATTACCTTTGTTAAACTTAGATCGACCATCCACCCAGAGCGCCCGAAAACTTGTTTTGCCTTCCAAGTAAGTGGTCAGATCGAAATATGAAGAAGAATAACTCCGTTAAAATTCAAATAATTTTTACACCTATTAGAGAAGTTCATTAGCTTTCGGAAAATATATACTTCGCTATGCGTAAAAATATTTTTCGCGCCGTTAGAGAGTGAAACATGTCAAGCTGTAGAGTCCGGCGCGCGCTCGAGCCGCGATTCGATCGTCCAAGATCAGGCAAAAATTAAATATAAAAAGAACTACTCGCTTCAGAAGAGTCTCTTTTTCTGTGCTCTTAGCGCACACGTTTTTTGAGCGGCACACAAAATTAAGAATCTGCATCTGCGTTTATTATTACCTTTGTTAAACTTAAATCGACCATCCACCCAGAGCGCCCGAAAACTTGTTTTGCCTTCCAAGTAAGTGGTTAGATCGAAATATGAAGAAGAATAACTACGTTTAAATTCAAATAATTTTTACACCTATTAGAGAAGTTCATTAGCTTTCGGAAAATATATACTTCGCTATGCGTAAAAATATTTTTTGTTGCGTTAGAGAGTGAAACAGGTCAAGCTGTAGAGTCCGCGGCGCGCGCTCGAGCCGCGATTCGATCGTCCAAGATCAGGCAAAAATTAAATATAAAAAGAACTACTCGCTTCAGAAGAGTCTCTTTTTTTGTGCTCTTAGCGCACACGTTTTTTAGCGGCACACAAAATTAAGAATCTGCATCTGCGTTTATTATTACCTTTGTTAAACTTAAATCGACCATCCACCCAGAGCGCCCGAAAACTTGTTTTGCCTTCCAAGTAAGTGGTCAGATCGAAATATGAAGAAGAATAACTCCGTTTAAATTCAAATAATTTTTACACCTATTAGAGAAGTTCATTAGCTTTCGGAAAATATATACTTCGCTATGCGTAAAAATATTTTTCGTTGCGTTAGAGAGTGAAACATGTCAAGCTGTAGAGTCCGGCGCGCGCTCGAGCCGCGATTCGATCGTCCAAGATCAGGCAAAAATTAAATATAAAAAGAACTACTCGCTTCAGAAGAGTCTCTTTTTCTGTGCTCTTAGCGCACACGTTTTTTGAGCGGCACACAAAATTAAGAATCTGCATCTGCGTTTATTATTACCTTTGTTAAACTTAAATCGACCATCCACCCAGAGCGCCCGAAAACTTGTTTTGCCTTCCAAGTAAGTGGTCAGATCGAAATATGAAGAAGAATAACTACGTTTAAATTCAAATAATTTTTACACCTATTAGAGAAGTTCATTAGCTTTCGGAAAATATATACTTCGCTATGCGTAAAAATATTTTTCGTTGCGTTAG